CACACACACACACGCGCGCGCGCGCGCGCACACACACAGATCGGATTTCCTCGACGAGGAAACAAGCAGCTCCTCGATCCGACGGCCTCAAACTACTCTCATCGACCCAATTCCAAATTATCTTATCTGACGTATTTTAAGCTTCGAATTTCTACAGGATAGCGCACTGCCACTTTTGCGCAAGCATCTGACTGCGATCCGGGTCAGATCCTTTTGCCTGTCCTGTCTCGTCGCCAGATTGCGAGATGACATCCCCTAAAGCCAATATCAGTAAATGGTCTGTCCCACCCCACCGGCCCACCGCGCTCCTTTCCCCCCACAAGAAAAACAATATTCAGAAAAAAAAAAAGAGGACCCAATAAAAAATGGACCAAAAAAAACAGGACCCAATAAAAAATGAACAAAAAGCATGGCAAAGCCTGGGGCGAGGTCCCACTAGCAAGGGGATAGGATAGAAACGAGTTTGTGGGGCAGTTGAGTGACCCAAATCCTGCCATGCAGTACTCGTGATCCCACGGTCAGTACTTTAGATGTATAACCCGAAAAAGTAGGGAGATCTTTGTTCCCCTCCTCCTCTCCTTAACACTGGGCATGGCCGTGCAAAGAAAGCTTCCCGCCAGAATCTTTTCAATCGATTGGGGGTGTGGCCAACCCCAAACAAAGTTGGGGTCGGCCTCAGCCCACTGGATAGAAGATTCTCAGCAGCATTTTATTGCTGTTGTGCAATTATCTCATTGGGTGGAGCCCTCCTTCAATCACGGAGCCCTATATATATGGAGGGTGTCAGGATCACCGCTGACAGAAGTCGAGATTATTCCAGAAAAAAAGCGGCAGTTACTTTGTTCACTGTTGTTGGGACCACCACCATCAGATCATTTGTTATCTGATGGCTGGGAAGCACTCTGCCGTGATTTCGGGTGAGAGGTCTCTGGTTTCTTTTTTTTTTTTTGGTCTTTTTCCTGTTTTCTCAGCCCAGAAATTCGTAATGAACTTGTCTGGCCGCTGCCACTCAGTGTCACACTGGATCGGCCACATTCCTATCCGACTGCTAATTGGACCTCGGCCCTGATCATTGCTCGTCACTACTAGTAATAATTGGGCCGCAGACACTAATAATTGGCCCGAAGAAAAGAAGGAAAAAAAAAATAAAAAAAATCGAAGTGTAGATAGCAGGCTGTCTGCATCCTTTATTATCATTAAAATAAAATAAAATGGGTTTTCCTCGATCAATGACAGGCGGTGTGTTGAATAGCAGAACCAGGCTGCTCACCAATCACAGTCCTTACTCAGGACATAATCAAACTTCACTGTATTTATCTGGTCGTAGTTATCACCAGATTCATTCCGACAAGTCCTCGAGTGAGTGCGCCCTAATTCCAGCATCGATCAATGCACAGGGTGTCCTAATGAGCACAATGCAGCAGATTGCGACCAGATACATACAGGCGCAACTACGACCATCGACGCGCGCAGCACTGAAGCAACCTGTCAAAGCCCGTCAAATGAAGTACCGTAAACGTAACATAACTGAAATGCAGCGACTTTCTTCTTCTTCTTCTTCTTCTTCTTCTTCTTCTTCTTCTTCTTCTTCTTCAGTTGCTTGGTCGGAAAGTCTGGTGGTGCCGCAAGGCGGATCTGGGGAGAAGCCCCCTGAGGAGTGCCAGGAGCGCAGCCTGGCCGAAACGCGTCGGGGAAATTGTGCGTTTTTTCTGAGAACTGTACATGCGGAGAAGAAATGTAAATCTGTTGATGCGTGTACGAGAAGCAGTCTATGGCCACTGTTTTCACTATTCTTCTTCTTCTTCGAGGCCCTATAGCTGTCTTCACGTCTCCCTAAACCCCCAAAAAAAAATTATAACGGCGATATGGACCGGGCAAAAAACAAACCCCCAAACAAAAATCCGTGCTGTGAAATCAAAAAAAAAAAAAAAAAAAAAAAAAAAAAAGGGCCAAAAAAAAAACGAAAAAAAAAAAAAAAAAAAAAAAAAAAAAAAAAAAAAAAAAAACGGTGCCGACATGAGCACGATCATGGCGAAGCAGTGTGGTCATCAATGCTGCCCGAAGACGATCTGCAAAGAGCATAATGGCACACACACACCAGAACTTTCTGGAATGATTTGATTATTATTATTTTATTTTTTAAAAGAATGATTTGTATTATTTTGTTTTTTAAAGGCATGATTTTTTCAACCTGAGTTATGTATGGGTACAGCTCCCCAAAAAAGTCCACTCTGAGTACAGCGCTAACGAAGATCACCATGTGTCAGCGGCACGATGCATTGCGACAGAACTAAGGAAATGTTCATGTCACACACTGTCACACACTGTCACACACTGCCACATAGTGTCATACGCTGGCACACACTGGCAAAAACTGACACACAGTGTCACACATTGTCACATAGTGTCATACGCTGTCACACACTGGCACACACTGGCACACACTGGCACACAACTTGTGCTATGTTCCATGATTAGAACGACGATGAGGGGGACACTGGGCCCGTTTCCAAGCACGTCATGGTCTCCAGGAATGGATGGGAGCTGTGTTTTTTTTTTTCCCGGGGTCGGCGGAGGGGGGGGGGGGGGGGGGGAAGAGAGAACGAGGATGCGTGAGAAGGTCTTCGCCAAGTGGCAAGAGCAAAGAGGATTGGATTTACCGCCTGAATGCGGACGTGATAGCGGAGAGGCGCAGAAAACCGCGATTGATCTGCTTTTCTGCATCTCTGCAGAAAACACATCCAGATTCAGGCGCTGAATCTAATCCTCTATGCCAGTGCGGCCTCGCCCAGATCATTCTCAGACAAGTCCGTAATCTCAAGGACGGAAACTTTCGAACAAAAAAAAAAAGAAAAAACGGAAAAAACGAATACTTTATAGAGATTTTCAAGTTAAATCCTAGATCGGGCCACGACAGACAGCGCCCGGAGAAAAAGCCCGCCTCTGCTCTCACTGCCACGGGAAAAAAAAAGAAAAGAGCAAAGCTCTGTTGCCATATGCACCAGCTATCTCGGGCCTGAAATGTGTCACACGTCACGGCTGTTCGATTGCAAGGGCTCCTCAGCCAACAGAGGAGTTGGACATTCCAAACAGACACAATATGTCCTCTTCTCCCTCTCTGCTGCGTGCGGTTTACCGGGCAGCTCTATACATATTCATAATAATGTATGATGAACATGTGTGTACATTTTATACATATAAAAATATGCATAATTAAATAAAAATATGCATAATTATATAGGTATTATATTATATTATATATAGTAGGACGTGAGACGGAGAAGAGGACAACAACATACAAGGGGATGTGACAGACTGTTCTGTCGGAGTTTCACCGACTCATCAGGAGGCTGAAGCCTCTACAGTTTGCAGAGTTCCCTAACCAATGACACTATAACCCCCGTTGCGGTTAAGCATTAACGACTTCCCGCAAAGAGAGAGAGAGAGAGAGAGAGAGAGAGAGAGAGAGAGAGAGAGAGAGAGAGGGCCGGTACTTCCTCTGTTAATATCATATTGCGAAACGGGGAGAGGGAAACGGGACAGCAATCCAGCGGCGACCGTTACGTCTCCGTGCTGGCTCCTCCAGATGCCAGTAGGTGGCCCTTCCCAAGGCCCAGACAGCAGATGGAGGCCCAGTTATCAAAAGCTGCGCATTGGATGATGAGACGTGTGACTCGAGAATGGGTTCTCCCGAGGCGACGCGCTGCTCGAAGTACTGATGGTTTTGCTGGCGGTGGGAGAGCGGAAGTGCGGGGGGGCGGGGGTGGAGGGTAGGAGAGGAAAAACACAACGAAGAAAAAAACAAACGGCTGCTTCTCAGAAGCTCAAAACCATCTCATTATCATCAGCACTTCTCTCTCTCTCTCTCTCTCTCTCTCTCCCCCCCCCCCCCCCCCCCCCCCCCCC